TATTTACAGAGTTTTTCAGTTCCTCAAAGGAACAAACTAGAACTTTGAACAAATATTAATTTAATTATTTATTAATCATGCTCCTACACTTATTAAATCAGTCATGTACGGTGAAGACTGACATCCTATAACCTCAACGGTAGAATTCCAGATACCATTGAATAACCTCAAGCAAAGACATAGAGTTTTAAAACAGACCATCAGCCCCATCAGTTCTCTAAGGAACATGGTTAGACTTTTCCTAATCTTATGTATTCAACCTTAACAGACCAAAAATGGAAGAAAGACAAGGTAGGAGGGGGAAATCTTTATGTCAAACATTTTAAGGATCTACAGTGCCCTCAGATGAATGAAAACATTAGCCTGTCTTTGATCTGATTTAGCTTAATTCCCTTCACTTATTTAATGAAAAGGAAACTAATTTCATTTAGTAAGGAAAAAAAAGAAAACTACGGCTAACTCTCAATTTATCCCTACAATTGAGCCCAACGTTTCTGTTGCTAAGCAAGGCATTTAGCAACAGAATAAGGCCTGGGGTTGATGAGTTCCCCTCCCCTCTCGACTTGTGTGGTTGTGTGATTCTTGGCTATTTTAACTTCTTGTATTGTGTTCTATGTTTCCCTTTCCCCCTTGAGTTGTTCGCCGCCCTGGGTCCCTCCCTGAGAAGGGCGGCATACAAATAAAATAAATCTAAATCTAATCTAAATCATTTGTTAAGTGACTTATGCACCATTTTATGACCTTTCTTGTCGCAGTTGTTAAGGGAATCACTGCAATTGTTAAGTTAATAATACAGCTGATAGATGAATCTGGCTTCCTCATTGACTCTGCTTGTCAGAAGGTGATTACATGAGCCCAGGACACTGTCATCAATATGGACCAGCTTCCAAGCATCTGCATTTTGATCACATGACCATGAGGCGTCTAAAAAAAAGTCACTTTTTTCAGTGTCATTGTAATTTTGAGTCACTCAGTGAACTGTTGTAAGTAGAGGGCTACCTGTATTCTATTAGTAAACCAGTCACTTCCAACCTGCTAGCCAGTTTCTTTACAATTTCAACCTGAGTCAATCTGATACTAATTTTTTCCCCAGGTGTTATGCTATCTAGAACACTTACTCCTGATAGAAACTCTTGTTATGATATAATTAGCTTCAATGTACCCACTTAAATCTGTCTGGCAAGAGTGTTTGTTGTATAGTGGTGGTTTTATTTAAACCAATTTTAGTGATGTCAATAGAGAGCTTTCACTCAATATTTGTGTAAATTAAAGCTCAGGTTATGACAGCAATATGGATTACTAACACAACGTATCAAATTTAAAGAATGTGGGTGTTATCTATATAATATATGATAAAAACGAATACTTTTTAGCAATAAGTATAATAGTACTAGTTAAATATATGAGCAGGGTAAGCTTCTAAATCAAATAGCAGTTCACTGAAGGAAAACAATTGCTTACTCGCAATCCAGCAGTTTTGGAGTGCCAGCAATCTTTCAAGTCAGAGGACAGAACTGCTTGCTGTGATATATTGTAGGGTTGATGCTTGAATTACCAAGCCTTCACCTCAAAGGACTTGAACAACAGTTTCTATTTGTCTGCAACTTCATCTTCTAGCAATTGGATTAAACTCCAGCCCCATTAAATGGTATCAGATTAAGCCCTACTACTTTCGCCATATTATTCAGTGAAATCAGCTTTTCTTCAGCCTTTGCATTTGTGTAATTAACATTAGATAAATAAAAGTTTGTATTATGGTCCTGGCTCATATGGCAGCTATCATGGCTCAATGGTGAATGTCTTCAGAGAAGCCAGTATCATTAAATGTTTATCTGGAAGCAGTGAGTCACCTGAACTTCTCTTGTCATGAGCACACCAGATTTGTAATGCCCGAATGGGTCTTCTGAATGCAACAGACCCAACAGACAGAACAATATCATGAAAACTGGACTATGAAGAATGATTATTGCTTACATAAAAAGCAACCACACAATTTATTTTACTTTAGCTATTTGTGAAACAATATTTGGTGAAGATAAAGGGATATGGTAATCATAGTCCTCTAGTAGCCTAAGATGAAGCCTAGCAATAAAATATCTAAAGTGTTTAGGAATATTAGGTGAAAGCTCTATACATCTGATAGTTAAAATTAGTCATATAGTTTTTTTTTTACAATGTAGAATTAATTTGTTTCGGTCAATTCAATCAAGATACCAATGTATTTTTATACAATGCTATGGCACATTGCTTGCAGTTTAAGGGTATCATTTTATTTGAATTGCAATTGTTAATGAATCTGTAGACTAAGAAAATGCTAAGACTAGTCTTGAAGATAACATAGATGGCTGCAGATCTTAGCATTCAAAAATATGCTTGCTAGTAATTTTCTGGTTACATTTCTCTACTATTACTGAAAATACTTTTTGTTGTGCTTCTTAGCAATGAGACAAGAAAGAAGTTAAGATAAGTGAACTATTAATGAAGTTCTATCTGACATATTTGTATTTATGTACTTATTTAAATGCAGGCAAAATTAATTCCGATTTGATAGATTTTATGCTGATTATGTTGGTAAGCATAAATATGAATGAACTAAATCTGAAGTTGCTAAGCAGATCACCTGGGATAAACACAGGTGTGTATGTACTGTGTGTATGTGTGTGTATATATATATGTACATTCACACAAATCCACACATATCTTTGGATCTAGTATGATGGCAAATAGCATACAAAATTTAGCCTAATTAAAAGATGACATCCTCAAACCCTAAAATATAAAGACACTCAAAATAATATAATTTATTCATACCTCCCTCCCTCCCTCACTCACTCACTCACTCTCCATTTTTATTGTACTATCATTTTCAAAGCTCATGAAATAAAATTCCACCATATCATCATTTTTCTCACTATACATAAACAGAAATGAAACACATATTCACACCCATAGGTGTAGTGAAGGAATTGCCTGAAAAGCTAATGAGATGTCATGCATTTAGAACAAGGACTCTGCAGATCAGGCAGTGGCTAGTGAATAATTGTGCTTCTCTGTAATTAAGCTAAGCATAACAACATGGGAATCATACATGGATAGTAAAATACAGATAAATTGAATTAATGTTTTTTGTTTGGAACACAAGGATTCAAAGGTGCCACTAGTCACTCCAATCTGTAAACTATATTTTCAGGGTAAGGATTGAATTAATTTATAAGGACAATCCATTTCTAGTAAAATCAATATCTGATGTCAAAAATGTACCAAACTCTTCCATAGTATGAAATCCTGATCTTTTGTTGAGAATCATTTTGGCTATTAAATTACAAAATCTATAAATAATTCTTTCAATTTAAAAAAGAAGAAGAAACTGCCTTCAGCTTTATTTGCAGGAGTAGCGGTTGATATTTTCTTTTATATTAGCTATATGTCTGCTCAAGCACTGTCATTCATAGCCAAATAAAAAGGTTTTATTATACATGGCTGTATATTATTTTGAAGATTAGACACATATATGGACGTACACATATTTAATTTCCTGCAGGAATAGCATTTTGCACTTGAACAAATCAATAATAGTTCATTTGTTGACATTCTGTGGTTTTCCTGTCAGCATAAGTGTCCACAGATCATTAAGTAGTAACAAGATTAGTTGCCATGATATTCCCCAAAGAAGAAAAGCAGGGTCAAGAATGAGTCCAAGGACACTACTTATTAAAATGATTATGCAGGTAAAGCAAAAGATAAGCTTTTGATTTGCCCAGATCTCCTAAGTGCTGTTCTACTGTACTCAGCCAGCAGAGATGATCCTTTAAGCTTTCATCTGAACAGATTTGGAGACCCAGAGGTGTTTTAGATAGACTATTGGATCATAAAACATGATCTCTATGCCTTAATTTCCTTTTGCAGGTGTAAAGTAAGGACAAAGAAGAAATAAAATCTTTCATATTTATATAGTATTATTTAAATAGTACTCGCTATATTTATATTATTATTTTCAAATGATCATGTCTGTAACCAAGGCCAAGATTCATGGAATGTCAAATACATGCATACTCGGTAATACTTTAGAGGAACTGTAAGAGCTTCAGACTCTTGGTGGGCCTCAGAAGCCCTACATAGACAGCAATATCCATTCCTTAATAGTACAATACAATTACCTCAAACAGAACAGAACAAAGAGAGTTGGAAGAGACCTTGGAGGTCTTCAGGTCCAACCTTCTGCTCAAGCAGGAGCATATTATTTCACTGGTTGTCCAATTTTTTCTTAGAAACCGCACATGATGGAGGACCCACAACTTCTGGAGGTAGGCCATTTTGACACAAAAGTCAAAATAAGCTTATAGAAACAATCTAGTGAAGAACAGCTTTCCTTGATTTCATGATTAAGGGGAAAAAATCCAGGCATAGGAACTATCTTTCAGGTTACATTTGGATTGCCCCACTTAATGTATATTTCCCTTTAAGTTTTAAAACTCCATTCATCCATCTACAACAATTAGCTACACAAAATTACATGCTTTGAACCAGAAGTGTAAGCTCAAAGTCCATATTCTTGTTCTGTTTAGCAGGGCTTACCTGAGCAAACAAAAAATATTTAGATAAGCTAAAATCAAGAGAGTATTTCTTTTTAAAGCTTCTTTGAGTTTAATCAGTGGCATAGCATCCTTGGTCTGGTCTGGGCCCCAGGAAGCTTTGAATTAATGCAGAAACTTAACTTCCTTTCTACCATGCATGAAAATGTTTTCTCCTCCATCTGTCACTTAAGTGGGGCAAATCAATTGACACAGCCAGATGAGACAGAGCGACCATTCCATTAGCCCATGAAAGGGACAAGTGATCCTTTCATGCCTATGGGAATTGTCTTTCCCGGCAGCTATTTTGCAGACTTTACAGAACCTGCTTTTTTTTGCACATTAAATAATATTCTTTATCAGTCCATCCAGTACCTCTCCCACTCCCAACAACTCCCTCTCCCTTTCTTCTCCTCCTCTCTCTTTTACCTTGGTTGCTGGAAACATGACTGCAGCCTCCCAGGCACACCAGCAGCAGCACCAAAGGAAAGAACAGGTTAAATTTCCAAAGGAAGCCCTTCATTTCACTGCTGTCCATGGCTGGGACCTCAGACCTTTCTCTTGGTCCCACACCAGGACTGAGGATGTCAGGTTCTTTGCCTGTCCAGGCTAATAAGCAGCGTGGAAGCCCTGAAGGAAGGAAGAATCAGGTTCGCAGTTGTTGCCAAAGCTGAAGAAATAGCAAAGGAGGGGGGAGGTGTAGTGGGTTGGGGAAAAATTGCCCCGAGAAGAGCTTCCTTCCCCTCTAAAACAGAGGCTGGAGGGCAAAGGATATCGTTGAGCCTGTAAGACTTGAAAGGCAAACAGCTTAGCCGGAAAACTTTCCTCGGTTCGGATGCCGTGTGTGTGTTTGTGTGTGTGTGTATGTGCGTGCGTGAATGTGTGTATGCAAGAAGGGTACCCAGGCTGATGTCGTCCACCTGGCTGCCTTCTTCCGTTTTGCTTCCTTTTCAGCTTCTCATCATCATCAGCAATCGTTTCACTGACGACCCCCCGAACGACTGCAGCCACCGCCTGGGGAGCAGCCTCTCCATCCCTTTGGTCGATTGCCCATCCCCACGCTTGACCATAAGGGACAGCGCCGGGACAGAGAATAATTTCCGAGCCGCGAAAGGTTTTTTTCCCCCCCCGCTCACGATAAGCTGCGCCAGTTGCGGACTAGAAGGTGCTGAAACGCTGGACAGTTCCCCGCTTCTCCTGAGTCGTCAGGAAAACTTGCCAAGCAGGATTTCCCAGCCGCCGCGACGGACTCCCCTTGGCTGGGACGGAGGCTCCTTGACGCCAAGCACTCGCAAATCAGACTCAGTTGGGTTGCTTCCCTTCCTCCCGCCTACTGACATCTCCGTTTTTTCCCCATCGGCTTTTGCTTGGGACTGAACGAGTCCTGCCTCCCCACCTTTTCTTTTCTGGAGGACTGTGCGTGCCAGTGGTATATCAAGCCAAGCAGCCCTTCGGAGACACTCCAGAGGAGCAGGATCAATATGCTATCTGGCGTCCGAAGCGGCAAGAGGGCTGTTGAGGTTTTCTGAGCCAGCAACCCTTGGAAGCAGCAGCCACTGTTTGCTGCAAAAAAATTCCCGATTCGTGTTTCTCTTTCCTTCCCTGCCAAAAGACGGGTGGGAGGAGAAATTACATTTGCACTGGATCTTTAAAGGTTTGGGGAGGGAGCTGGAGGGGAAGAAGCGAGAGAAGCAAGGCAGGAAAGAGGTTGGAGCTTTTTTTTCACCTGCTCGGTTGTTCTTTTGAGAAGAGGTGAAAGATTGGTGGTTAGCTCTTGGAAGAGCAGGAGGAAGAAGAAAGAAGCTAGTTTAGTTTGGTAGCTGTGAGCAGCCTGCAGGTCAAATGCAGCCTATTCGGCACTAGAGGGGGTTAGTTGACAAGATAAAAATAAATAAATAAAATAATAAATAAATAAAATCGCTCTGCTCGGCTTTTGGAAGGCAGTAACAGCTAAACTTTAAAATTGCATTAGATAAAAAGACACTGGTAATCCTTAGGGCATAGTGGCAATTTGCTATCTTTAGCTTTTTCATCCTTCCTGGGGACGAGCAACTTCCTGGTCTGTAGAATAATGATTTCCCAAGTCTGGTTGGGATGTTGCAGGCTAAGGTCATGTACAAAATGATGAGTTTCAAAGTTGGGTCAGGAAATCATGATATTGTCTTCAGTGAACTAAACCTATCAATTTTTTTCTTACATGTCCAACAGAGGAAGAAATGATAGATGAGAATGCCTGTCTGGTGGTTATTATAGGAGCTAGCCAGAAGGTGAATTAAAGTAATAGAACAGAAATAAACAAACCCAAAACATGTTTTCATGTTGTCAGCAGTGTTAGCATTTGAGACGGTACTATGGAGAAGGAGATGGGCAGCAGAGAAGATGCTGAGAAGTACTTCCTAGCTCACAACAGCAGCAGCTTTAATGTGTGGGGAATACATTAAACGCAGTAATGTGTGAGAAACATTGCTCAGGAAGACATCACTCTGGATCTGAACTCAACCTCTAGAAAGGCAGAGACTGTTGTGTAAAAGCAGTAGTAAATATATTTAAAGGATCATACTAGTTGATTCTAGGCTTAGAGGAAAATGAGAAAAAGGAGCTCAGAAAGGCCTCACCTCAGAATGCTGTGGAAGAATTTATAAAGGTATGAAGAGTACAAGGAGAAAAAAGACCAAGGCTCACAACCTGAGAGAAAGAATCTAGGTCTAGAAAGTTAGGAATAAACAAGGGCAAAGAAGGTTTCACATAAAAACTTGTAGGTAGATAAGATATTATTACCAAAGGTAATAAAGTTGGGGAGGGAAAAAAGAGCCCCCCCCCACATTATCACAAGTGAGGAGAGGGAAAATAATACAACAAAAATACATCTTTAATTGATTTAACATGGTATTTTGTGGGTAGGTAGCTAGGAAGAGAGACCAAGAAAGATGATATATGAGTCTGTCTTGTAAGCAGAGAAATACAAAATGTATTTATTCATTTAAAACCTTTATATAAGTAACTCATGTAATTGGGTGGCCCCTAATCAAAGTATGTAATACATTTATAAAAATAGATTTCATAGAAGGGCTATTGGAAAGTGCATCAATTGGAAGAAATAAATGAATTGAATTTATTTAAATATGAGGAAAATCAAATAAAATTGTTTCTTTTACATTAAATGCAAGCTAAAGAACCTCACAAATTCCATTGGATGGGTCATTATTTAGCTTATTGTGTGAATTGGTATATTTGTCTTTGAGCCTGAACTCTGGGTCATATGATTAGATAGCAGTGCTGAACCTTCACAGATATGTTCTTCAACTGATAAATCTAGAGGCAAAGAATACAAAAACAAAAAAAAATTATATCATCCATTTTATATTTTATACTTTACATAATTATAACTGAGCTAATATGGAAATACCCACATCAGATGCCATTTTGTAGATATCAAAAAGTTTACTTTCAGGCATACAGTAAAGTTATTCACTCTGCCTTTTCAAGATTATTTAGCAAAGTTTGAAATCTTTTCTTTTTATTCTATCAATCTTTGTTATAATTTAAAGTTAATAGAATACATTCAGATAATAAACTAAAGGATTTTTTTAATGATACCCTTTCTGATGGCAGTTGAAGTCAAACTGCAGATACAATGAAGTTTTTAAAACACTGTACAGGAGCTTTATAGAACTATAGAACAGTGAAAGAGTTTAGAAATCAGTATTGTAATAAGACTGTCTAATAGAATGATACAGGTTCAATCTATAATCTAGAAATCTTCAGTCTAAATTACATTTCAGAATGAACTTTGTCCAATATGAGTAATGCAAACATGAAACACTTCGAATATTTAGGAGGAATACGTGCAATAGAATATAATGAATACTGAACTTGTGTAATAAAAATTGGTATGTCTATATCTAGCACTGGATAGCATTTTCTTTACTGTACAGTCAAGGAGATTATAATTATGCCTGTAGACTTTTCTTCACAACAAGTTATTCTTTTCAATCAATGTTGAAGGACAACATGACAAGAAAATTGAAAGAACTGTTTCATTTTCAGAATGAAAATGAAATGCTATCGGCATGTAAGATATAACATATAAAGAGTGTTACTGAGTTGTTATAAGCATAATAAATTATCTAATTTTGAGTAATGATACCACTCAAAGTTGTAAAAGGCATCCAGGTCTCTGGTAAAAACTTCTTTAATTTAGACAAAAAAAATCATTTTCAGAAAGATAGATAAAGAGAGAGGGAGAGAGAGAGAGAGAGAGAGAGAGAGAGAGAGAGAGAGAGAGAGAGAGAGAGAGAGAGAGAGAGAGAGAGATAGATGGATAGAAAGAGAAAGA